ACGCATGTCTGCGCCCTAATCCGACGCCACACCACACCACACCACAAACCACACCGCACTCACACGAAGAATGGGTACTCCCGTTGGGCGCTTCATTACTGTTCTGAGACAAGTTCCTCGATCTATTCTTATTCCAAGTTGTATAAATAGTCACTCATACCTCATCATTCCTGTACGTCTGGCTGGGCATTCACATTGGCAGAATGTAAGACACACTAAGGAAGCCAAAGATAAGGAACGTGTCCGTGTAACTACGACTGTTCTTTATCAGATTGATGCCGCAATTAAGAGTAATTCTCAGGTCCTGTATATTTATTTTAGGTTGTGGTGGCATACGAGATCCAAAGCTTAATAGTAAACTCGCCGCCGTCATTGCCGATGCAAAGTCCAAAAATGTCCCGATGGAAACTATAAACAGACGCCTTTCTGCCCAGGATATAACTGATCCTTATGTTATAGAAATACAAGCACCTGGTGGCATATTCTCCCTCGTAGAGACCCGTTGCAAGTCTGTAAAATCAACTAGAGATAAGGTACAAGCCATTGCAAAAAAATATGGGTAAGAATTTCGTTAATGTGATTTTAAAAATAGCTTTAAAGTTACGAAATCAAATCAAGGTTCAATAGCCAGTGAATTCTTTGAGCACATTGGTGTCGTCTCTGTTGCTCATCAGAAAGCTCTGGAAAATATTGATTCGGCAACTGAATTGGCTATCGAGTGCGGCGCTACTGATGTAAGAGAGTCCGAGATCGACATTGGAGTTAAAGGATTTGAGGTAATTTAATGGCCACGTTTGAATTTGCATAAATTCTTGTCGAAAGTGGATGCGGCCCTTCACCGTATAATAACGTATATTATTTTGTTCTTAAGGTACATAACTCTAATTTTTGTGGGTGTTCTAACTTGCCATTATAAATCTTCACAAGCCTCTACTATGTGACATGTTGCACTTATTGTGATTTCCGTTGCTTTATGTTTATTATGTCTGCTTAGCTGCCCAACTCAAACAGTTGCGATGATTGGAAACACCCTTATCATGTTTCATGTCTTTATGTACAAGTTACTCGCAAACCAGGTTATCACCGTGACGACTTCTGCCTCTTTGATCAAACCACGTTTTTCCATTGCTAGCATATTCCTATGTCAATTGCTCAATAGCTGTCCTAGTCGCGTCATGAGTATTGAAAGCAGGAGCTTGGATTTAAGGGATGCTAAAGCGAAATGTATGTAAATTTTTGTTGTATCAGTGAACACGTCCAAGCCAAGGATGTTCTTACACAGGTCGTAAAATTCGTTTCTGCGAATCTCTATTTTCTGCGTAAGCGTGAAGTCTCATGGCATGTTTGCGTAACAGTCTGTGCTTGGTGTTAAACACGAACAATTTCTAACCAATACAATATGACGTAAACACATGATGTTAATCACAGGTTGTAGTGGGAATCATCCAGTGGTTCGTATAGCTGCAAAGACAAACTCCATTATTGAGACATATTTCTTACAGCACTTGAGCAAAAGGCAAGAAATGTTGAATGTCTGTTGAGTAATTCGTATGGGGCTGTGTGCTATTGTCCTGATTATTGATTTTGGGTCGCATACACGAAAAACTGACTGTAGAATGCCGGTGGGAACCTGTAGTTCTCTATTCACCTGCTCTGTCAAAGTTAATCTCCGCTCTTCGACTTGCGCCTTATCCGCATAGAGGGAAACTTGGCTGATAACCAGAATGCATAATGACGTCATGTTTTTTTGTTGTTTTGTTACCTTGTGTGTGTCACCTAATTTGATAATTCTCGCACTTGGAGTGACCTTTGATCTTCGTCACTATGTTTTACTTGAAAGTTATCAGTAAGCATATTATTCTTAATTTTCAGTTTCACTGTGAATTGAATGATGTGGATAGCGTTCGACAAAAGCTTGTTTCTCGTGGTATTGACGTCTATGAATCATATTGCCCTTATTTACCACGTCAAAAAGTAGCTGTTTCAGCCGAAAGCGGGCGCCTTATCAATGAGATGTACAATCGCCTTCGTGAGGCCATTGATTACGCCGACAATTTTTACGACAACTGCGATTTAACCGAATAAATTCGAAGATAGCTTTTCTGAAGCAACTTTACCACTATTGCCTTTCTTTGTTGCCCAATTATTTGATACTAGTAAGCTCAACCAACTTTTGTTTTTTATCTTATTAAAACACCGCTTTCCACAATCGTGGTACGCCACTGTGAAGTCGTTACCGTAATTATCAGTGTGTATGCGCTGTTTAGAAACACGTAAGTAGTGTTCCGCAGTCGGGAATGCGGTCGCAACAAGCAGCAAGTGTATACTGAGGTTCTTAAAATCCGTTTAATCGGATTCGGAAGCTTAATTTTTATTCACAAGTCGATCTTTTACCGAAAAGTCAAGCGTTGGTTTAAGTGCCGGTTGTTCAATCAAGGGTTTGGTATTGAGTGTGGAGAAGTGGCTTTTGCTATGCGCCTGACTGATTGGAAAAGCCTGTGACGAACTACTAAATTGCTGGTAGTGTGGATCCCTTTCGCAGAAGTCCTGTTTTCACTAACAGACACGTCACAACGCTGCGTCACAGTAATGAGAAGTAGGCAAAGGTCCTTGTGCGTCCTGATTTCATAAGGGGCAATTCTAATGTCAAAGAACCTCATAATCCGGGACCGTTGGGGCGTGGCTTAAAACATCGCGTGAGACTGGATTGGGCACTCCCTATCAGGGACACTGTTTGGTGACGACGCAAGTGCCGGTTTCCTCAGTCTAAGCTTGCCCTTCAACGATTGGGTAGTGGCATGCAGATGAGACGAACAGCACTTATGGCTTTGTTGACCGCGTTTCTGCACCGGCGTCGAAGTGCATTGATTTGTTTGTCTTGAACCTCAGACACGCCGAGGTAGTTCATGATTTGGGCTAGACATCGGAATGCTGGTTCCTAACCAACTGAGGTCAGTCACCGAAATCATTTAGAGATCTTATAAAAATTAATAAAATGAGGCAATAAATCTGGGACAGGGCTTTGGAAGTAGAGTCATTTTCCTCTCGTGGAATTCATTTGGTAATTATGCACCAGGCTCAGGGGACCAGGCGGATTTTGATGTCATGATCGAATTTAGCAGCTGTGTGCTCCCCGCAATATTTATGGTGGTTTTAAAACCTCAAGTGCGTTATTGAGCCATCTCTCCTGAGGAAGTTACATTTGAATGTGCGCCTAGTAGCCATCAAGACAAACGCAAACATATGTTAGCTAATTCGTACCGCGTCAGGGTGTGTGAGCTCGTGCACACTGTCGCGACTGCAATCGATCACACTCGTGCGTTGTGTTCGCACGCAGGCTCGTTTCTCCGTCAAAAAAAATGCTAGTCTAGTAACCCGTAAGTTTCCCATCGTATTTAGTTGCGCGATGACAGACAGAAGCACAATATAAAAGTGGCTTTCATTCAGTCCTTATATATAGTTGAAGTGTAAGTGCTTTTTAGCTGTCTGTTTCCTCCGATTTGCCGACCCATTAGGTAGAATAAATTATTACGGCAATACATTGTGAAATAGAAAGTCTTTTTGCTCCGTCAACTAGTTTGAAGTTCATGACTACATCCTTATCAAATATAAGTGAGGGCCATTTGACTAGCGTTCCAAATTTTTGAAATTAGCCAGTTAACCAGGACGTCAAGTGCCAAATGAAAGCAGAAGCCACACTCAAAAAAATTAACGTGCACCTGGGACTAAATCCATCCAATACAATGATGGCGTATTTTACAGAACCAAAACCAATAAATTGACAACTCGCAGATCCTAGTTGTTGCAATCCACCAATTACATGCCATCACTAGCTGGAAATACCAGACTTTATAACACCACACCAGCTTTCAAGAACACTGCATATCGCTCCTGGATTTTATTTCGAAAATGAGCTTTCACAGGCTTCTAGTCATGAATTTACTCAAAAGATAAATGTAGACAATTTCCAAAATTTTCAGTAAGATTATAAATTTTCATAAACCTGAAAAGAATATGCTGTCAACTTGAAGGAATAAACCCACTTAATTGATCGGCTGTCTGTGTACTAAATTTAATTAGTTGTTAACAACGCTACACATTGGTATGACATGACGGAATTGGCAGAAGTAAGCTAGCAGTGGCAATCACACGGCTGTCGAATTAGCCGCTATCGTCATTTAATTTAGCAATTTCGAAAGACATCTGTATCGCCAGTAGGGTTAGTTTCAATAACGTTTTGTCAAGTTACACCTGTTTGGGGTGAGAACATTAAATGAACAAAAGCGATGTATTAAAGTATGCGTGCTCAAACCTCGTCAATTCATCATCTGCGAGGGGACATATAGCATAAATGAGGAGCTGTTGTGATCTGCATCCTCAAGTTATGCCCGTTATTAACAAACCTAGCCTTGTACAGAACTTAGGTGATAACCCGAACTAAAACAATGGACATCAATTTTGGCGAGTAATGTTACCTCATGACCATAATTTCGTGGTCGTTAAAAGGAGCGAAGTGACAAATCTGCTTTTTCCGGATGCTTTAAGCCCCAAGAGGTATCCTTAACCAGAAACACTTATTTATCAACGCTGAGTGGGTGTGCCTAGATTTAAGGAAGCCGCGACATCTATAGCACCTCTGTCAATTTGAATGCTTTTGCAAGAGATTTTACAAAGCCAGTCATGTATCATGCTTTCGACCAAGAACTAATGACATTCAAAACAAAACCCACGCAGAGTTCTGCTGACAAAATATCCAGTTCCTAATAGTATTTTTAGCAAAGCCTCTCCTTTATATTCATTTGAACCGACAAATTCCTAATGGAGTAATTTGAAGCACTCTACCAGTTTATAAGCCCCGAGTCAATAGTTAATGTTTTACCCGGACGGTGATAAATACTGCTGTTAAAACATCGATTTCTCATTTAAGTCACCGAATCAGAAGTCAAAATGAAATTAAACGCAATCAATTTTACCACTTGACTAGGAGCCAGTTCCATCAAACAACCCTGTGACGATGAGCCAGATTCATTGAGATTGGTTTAACCTGTTATAGAAGAAGTCTAAGTATTCTATTTAAATGAGTCCTTTTATTGAATTGCTTATTGTTTCCCAAGCCATGCTATGCCCATCAATATAAGCAGAACCACCACGTTAATTCATAAGGTGGGGTTTGTCTGAGATTTCAAAATGTACCTCTCCGGGGGCTGAATTAATTTGAAAGACGGTTATTAGGATTTATAACAAACCACAAACATAAGCAGGACTCAAAGATTTGAAAACACCAGTATTTATTACACTTTTAATTTGCAGAGTTTAGGTACATTACTAAACATCTTTGAATAAGTCGATGTGCCAAACGTACACTGATAAAATTTAGGCACACTAACAAAGCAGCCCTAAACCTTTCATCTAATTTCACTCACGGACCACCTACATCACGTTTCTCCTATTAAAAAATTAAACATCAGATCCTTAGATTTGTAAAAAAAGTGTTCTTATGAAGGGAAAGCACGGCCAGGATGTCTGCCGAAAATAGCGCTTGGTTGAGGGACAAAAACAATAGAGAACTAGACCCGTGTAAGCGAAGAAATGAGGCCTGAGAAATAGTTTTAGTCTCCATTTCGTTCTGGTACAGAATCCTTTGAGCCTTCCTTTACTTCAACAACTTCGGTCCTTATTGCATTCGTTGCAGCAGGTTTCTTCTTTGAATTCTTCCTTTTCTTGTTCGTTTTTGTTTGATGCTGTTGCTGAAGTTCCTGTTGCTCTTTTTCAGACACTACTTGTTGTGCTTCTATCGGTATTTCCTTTATTTCGGGCTCCAGGTCTTGAGACATCGTCTGCGATTCGGAAGACGTGACATGATGCTTCGCTGTCAACTGAGGCGGTGGTGGGTTTCTATGCTGCGATGAGGGTGTCTCACGAGAACCCTTATCTGCCTTGGTAGATTTTTTGGAAGACGCCTGGTTCTCAACTACAAGCGAAGCTTGCGCCATATGTTGACTATCAACAGTAGCCATTGTCGCCGACTGGCTGCATGACGTCGGACGGATAGGTCGACGACGAACTGGACGACTGGAGTACTTCTCGAGGGCCTCTCGAACATGTTTCCCGTCTTCAAGTTTAAGGACATCAATAAGCTGAGTAAGTCGGTCCCTAAAGGTCACCAACGATTCCAAAGGGATGCCAATAACGCTTCGATGAAAGTCCGTAACCTGGGAAATGTGTAGACGATTGCCATAACGAGTGTTGTGTATGTCGAAGAAGTAGCGACGCTCACCGGAGGGACTGTAGAGGTATTTGACCTGAGGAGGCTGACCTAGGGCCTGGTATCTCACACAAATATCACCTTAAAGCAATGAAGTTAATTAAATTAAAATGGCCGCAATTACGTCTAACGGAAAACAGGGTGAACTTCGTTCTACAGGCATTAAAAGGGCCGACAGGTGCGGAGATGAAGAGATTGGGTCAAGACTTTTTACTCCTACATGACGAATAGCACCTGTTATTACGTAAAGTGTGCATCGCCATGTCGATGCGCTGGAAACGCTTAAAACAACAAGGCGGCATGTGGAATTTAAACGTAGCACTTAAACCAAATATTTTGAACGTCTCCTGCATTTAAACGGCAAGTTAGGTCGATCTCGTGCTTAATAATGTTGTAAAAATTGGGTTAGTGAGAGGGAAAATAGCCAATTTGAGGATAAGAATGAAAATACCACAGTAGAGGTATAGGCTGGCATGTTTTTAGTGGGACTTGGAATCGATCCAACACAAGCCCCATTCCTGAGAACTCGAGTAAACAAATCTAGCTGTTATAGAATGACTCACTTCAAGGAAAGTCAAACGAATGTCGCTATGATGACCTTCACAAAAATAATTTTTCAATAACAGGTGGAGTGCACCTTTCACGTTGTGAGATAATTTAAGCTTGAAAATCCCAAAAACGTCAAGTTGTGCAATTACACCATAAATACGAAAATATGCCAGAAATATTCCATCTTTGCAGAGAGACGATTCATTAATATCATACTAAATTCGTGAATTGCCTTTTAATAAAGAAGTCCTAGGTATTTATCGAATACGAAATCTGAATCTTGTTTTATTTAGCAAGTTTACCTTTATCTGCAAAGAGAGCAAAATAATAAATGTCGCTCCACTTAACCATCGACCAGGTGAATTAGATCATACCTATGTGCAAAATTGTGCCAACCATATAAAGTTTAAAGTATAAGTAACCATGTCGTGACATCCGAACTTAACTTAACACGAATTCGGATTATGGTGCATCCCTCTCAAATTTCAAAATAGCAAAATATACGATGCTTCGTTGGTTGTCAGCAAAACTAACAAACGCGATCTATTCTCGACTTTCATGTCCCATAGCTCTTTCTATAAGAATTCTGCACATACAAACGCAGGTCAGACGTAATCCATCCAGTGTAGCAGCTAAAGGCATCAGGCATAACTTTGTGACGCAGGAATCTTCCTGGACTGGACTTTTCTGGCACGTGGGTGCTACGCGTTTACACAACACGGCCAACAGCACTCAACCGACAGAAACAGGGCCGTGTCCTGCAACCAGCACCTCCTGTCAGCGGGTTAATCGAAGCACGAAAAATGCGCATGCTGACCCAGCATAGGTAAAGGAAGGCTGAATTGGGATGTGCAGTAGCCCCTAACATTCAGATAATCTTGTTCTCCAAAGGGTCCTCAAACAGACGCATCCCTTAGTGCTGTACAGATGTCTTAGTGTGTGCGAATGATACACTCCAAGTAAAGTGTCAAGGGACTTGGAGGAAAATAGGGATGTAAACGATGGAGGCTTGAAGACACATTGGAAAGTAAACCGACTACTAAATGCCAGTGCGTTGCTTTTTTGTTTGGTGGAAATTGCTATTCCAATAAAAATCTGCGATAAACAGAAGGTTCAACCATTTTCCTGAAGGAAATCGGTTAATTCAATGCAAACATACCAATGAGCCAAAAGTACAATATGAACAGAAGAGAAATTAACCAAACCTCCGGGTCTCTGCCCACTAAGTGGTTACCATTGACAAAGTCAATCGCGAGTCTGAATGAAAAATTAGGTAAAACCATGAAAGTGCTCGTCAAGCCAATAATGTAGACTAGTTGGTTGTTAAATCGATCAACCCTTCGACTTACTGCCAGTTAGTCAAGCTCTTCGCCGACACCACAGAAGCGACTCCACAACACACCAAAAGTTGATGTCGACAACTGTTCGCGCACTTACAGCGTCCTCCAGCACATTTGCTCAACAAGGCTAACTTACGAAAGGCGACTTCATGATAACCAATAGCGGGGATTGGACACAGTCGTGTGGTCGACTGTCAAGAGAGGTGGGGCTTATTTACTGCAAAGTTATATTGCCCTGACGTAAACCTGAGTGGGTTTAGTAGCCTGACAAAAAATTCAACTCCATTAAAAATGAACTACAGCGTTTTGCAATTGTATTAGTTTGTTTTTTAGGGAAATCGGCACATTCACAACGAGACTTTAGAAGCGAACTTATTTAACGGCATTCCGTTAAAGAAACCCGTCAAGTGATACCATCACCTTGACTAATCAGTTTCTCGAAAGTAGATTGCAGGTGGATCTGACATTATTTGCAAGTATAGAAATAAGAACGATTACTTCTGAATGATTTGAGAAACCTACGAAGACTCGATGTTTGACGCAGTGAATTTAAGATAAATTTCCCTTTTCATAGAAATGTAAAAAACAATTATTAGAAAGCATCAAAGTTGTCGACGGTACTTATTTTTGCAACATCGTTTTATTAGGGGCTGCAATTAGGAGTAAATCATGGATGATGGCACTTTTTGGTAAGTGCAAAATTATCTTTAATTCTATAATCTTAAGCCAAAATAAACAACCGAAATGGTAACGTAACCTACGAAACAACTGAATCTGAACGAAACCGACGGAAGATAAACCCAACAACGAGTCTGAAGACACTTCGGTATTACTCTTCTGGTAAAACTAAAACCAACTTCATATTAGTTTCCATCAGCTCAAGGAATGCTGCGGAGAAAGCCGAGTTTCAGGTGCGCATTATTTCACGTGTTTGCTTAATTCTAAGGGGCCGCACTGGTCAACACTTACAAACCGAGACGAAAGGCATAAAAGAAACCACTTACTGATGAAAGCGATTAAATTTGGAAGTAGTGATTCATAGATTTCTAGACACACAGTCCTCAAATGTACAGGCAGAGGTCGGGAGCCATTTTCACCATTCGTTGAAGCACCCTCAGTCTGTGTAATTGGACCAGCCTGTAACCATCGTCTAACTTTTCCGTCTTCATCAGTGGAATCATCCGTTGACATCGTTGGACGCTTAGAAAGGACTTTGAGAGAACAATTCACATCTCGGTCGCAAAACTCAGCCGGGACGAGTTTCGAAAGATCAAAAACAGGATCATTGCCTTCTGTATTTGCCGAAGTACCAGTGTTACCATCATGCAGTTGGGCACATGAGAGCAAGTGACGATGTAAGTGAGTGCACAAAGAAATGGGGAATGTTACTTCATCGTAGCGTTTAAATCGGGACTTCAGCACAGCCCACGGAGCCAGATCTGGATCTCCGTGTTCGAGCCCATCGTATCTAGCATTCTGTCTGGAACTCAATACTGAGTCTTTTCTCAAAGGTGACTGAACGACACCCATGGAATAACCAACAAGTTCGGTTCCCGATTCTTTACTTTGTACCAGCTCTCTCATAAGCATACGTCGAGGTCTCCCCCTCAAATGCTTTTGGTTCTGATTCGGCGAACCGCCAAAGTTCCCGTAAGCCGAGCCATTACCGTACTGCCTAAAGTTCTGAAATTGCTGGTTCATATCGTAACGACAAGCAAACTCGTCAAATGATCACTGTGCGGCATCAAGAACGTCTTGTGTGACGAAGGCACAAATTGCATGCTAAGTTGACGGTGTCTTATTGGCTTCAATGTGAACTCTCCAATAGAGAATGTGCGCTTGTGTTTGCGCGCCACGAGAGAACAAATGCAAGGTGCACTTGCCTCAAGGTCACAAAACGCATGATTGTGATTGGAAAGAAGAACCACGGCTACAGTAAACTTGACTAGCTTCGACATGTCGGCAGGTTCATGAAGCTGAGTGGGGCTTGAGTGCTCTAACATTTTAATACGACCTCTCTATGCTTTTCAATTAGAAAATGCTCGAGTATCTAGTTTGAAATAGCACTACCATATAATATTAGGCAATGGCAAATTGGTCAATAATACTCACTAATGTTCAGGGTCCTAGTTGCGTTGCCTTGGATGCTTAACAGGGCACGAAAAAGCAACATGGATGCATATCGCAGTACCTCTCTCCACGTTTATTTAAAGTTATGGTTGTTTGTTTGATTGCTTCTGTGTTGACTTCAGGGTAGTTCAAATTGTAAATACCCATTCTGGCGCGATTTGACGCCGCTGAGTCATAAACGAGTCAAATCAGAAGCGATAGACTTGGGGGCTCTCTGCACCAATTTGTTTTTATATTAATACACTTTAATTTACAGGTGATATAAGCTGTTACCCATTGAAATGTTTTGAAAAAAATTATCTAGATACATTTCCCAATATTCTTGTAAAGTTTGATGTTCGCACAAGTCTACATTTCAGATGGACATCTCTGTAAACACGGACAACGAAACATTACTTTTGCTGATATCACAACTAGCTTGTCAGCTTTCGGCGATACAGCCACGCGGTCTTTTTGGGAGATGGGGGCTGTGATTACTTCGTCACTCCTTGTACTGTGTGTCAAACAAAGTCTATTATGCTCTGCCCTGGTGTAAAAGACAATTTTAAGGCTTGGTAAAGTCTAGTTATATTATAGAGGTGGATTGCAAGCCACTAAACAGCACCTAACTTTCGAATTATGCTATCGGTGCTCTCATTGTCGCAAAAAAAACTGTGCCATTGTATTCCAAGAAAACGTAACTAAGTCATCGAACACAATCTAGGCAGGTCAGTGGCGAAACGATCATTCTCAACTTTATGTTGGTTCTTTTGGTCGCTTGAATGTTCCTCACAGACACGATGCACTGTGAACAATTTGACGCCACGTAGTTCCAACTTTTTTTTGGTTTCACGTGAAAACGTGCAAGACCCTGACTGCTTAACATTAATTTCATCATTTTCCCCAAGTTATGTGAGACATATTTGACATTAGAAGTGACTACCTCTGTGAAAGCGTGGGGAAGACTCAACGAACTGAGTATCCGGTGCAACCTACATTAATCGGCCACACTACATTAGCAAAATTTAACGGATTATAACACACGCGTTCGTCTTGGAAACACAAATAGTCCAGGTAGTTTTTGTCGGTTAAAATTTTGCAGAAATAACAAGTCATTTCTGCGATTGACGAAGTCACTGTCGATTAGAGGAGTCTTACAATGGTTTCATTACCGTCTCGTCGATTTGTTACTTGTTGGTAGAATTTTCAAGACAAATTTTAAGTCTGAATTAGTGACGGCAAAAGGATATGTGTGAATGACAATGAACGAGCAGGCCTGGTGTTCGACTGGGTCCTCCAACGTATGCCAGCAGGCAGATCAACGAATGAAGCGCATGCCTTGCAAATTACATCAATGGGGATATCAACCTAGCACGAAGACTGTTATTTCAGATAAGGATGACCTTCCTATTGTCACGTGACAGTTACCAAAATAGCAGTTACATGCGCAGATTCCGACCCTTTGAATCCCAAAAGCCAACACAACAGCTACTGACAAAGCTAGAGTAGAATGCATCTTGGTTCGAGATCAATGAAGAAAACCAGCAAGACGCCATTTATGCCAAAATTACGCGTGAGGTAAATTGATCAATTTTTCTAAAACGGACTGACACCAACTAATTTTTTTCACAATGCGCGAGATGCAACCGTTGCGAATTTCAAGGCGAACACTATAAGTTTCCACTATAGCCCAGTCTGAAACTGTGTAGTGGCACGTATTTTATCGCAATTACCACCCTGAAAACAACACTGATGACAAAGAGAATAGAAAAGCCAGGTAGCGAAAAAAATCTTAGGCATCCCAATTTAGGCTTCCATTCAATTACACTTCTATTCTAACGAACACAAGTACAACTGCACCACTCGTACAGTAGCAAAGCAAGCAGAATTCGTCAACTCAATAACTTGAAATAGCATGGCCCAGAGTTCGTTAAGTAACACTGTAGAAAATGAGGTTTGACAGCCCTTGCTCAGGAGGTACCTTCGCTTGACAGTTTCACCAGAAATGTGAATTGTAGCCACGCAATGAAAAGCGGAATTGCAAAAAATACAGGACTATGTTTATCCAACACCATTACCACTTGTTGGAAAGAATTACAGTGGTATATTATTTAAAAAAAGGTGATCAAACAAAGGTAAGCACGACTAATAAAATAACATTACGGGAAAAAATAAGAAAATCAACTCGAAGCGGTTGTAAACAGGCTAGGAAACCAGTAGGTGCGTTCTCCACTCTCACTTGCTTCATCTACCCAAGCCATGCCCTCTTTCAGGAGATGATCAAGGGCCGCTTGTGCACGTTCGTGTATCCAGTCCAACCTACAAATAAGTACAAATCCCAATGCACCGAGAAGTAAACGTAGAAGGTAAGAGATTAGATTCCAGCGATGGCATGCCATTGTGAATTAGTAAACAGTCAGTAAAATTATATTACGAGACAGCCACACATCAGACAAAAATCAACAGTCTAGTTGGCAAATAAACTTATGCATGCTTGTGTATTCAGAAAAAGTTTCGCTGAAGACTGAAATTGGTCCAAGTATATGGAAGCAGTTAACGGTTTCGAGTCTATCTTCATGGTCGATGACTGGGCGGTTTCCGTGGCACCACAACTCTGGACCGGTATTAAGGATCTCGATCCAATTAAGCACATTACATAAAACCGAATAAACCATCAAATAACATAGGTACTTGCAAGGCGAAGTCCCGTTGGGACGATTAAGGCAGGTAGTAAAAAGGGTGCGATGTTCCATGAAAACAAACACAATGGTAGTTTGTTGACAGTTCACGGTGGTGGGTGATCCCGTAGATAACAAAACGTGTCAAGTTTGTTCTTGTACAAAAGACACCAGACTTAGAAACATGGTTGCTCCCTCAACAACTTACTATTTAAAAACCCTTAACCCATTCGTTGGTTAAACAGCCACTTAAATGCAAGAGAAACCGTTCTGCAGAACGGCCGACAGCTATCAAATCCTGCCTATACACAGATACTGTTGTTGGACAACAATTGCTTACTCTGCAACCAGTGGCCTTAACTTATTACAAGAGAGAATTTCTATTTATATGCTCACTTTCTTGATATTTTGTGCTATTTCTTGCATTACTTGACCTTTAGAAGGGGATACCGTCGGGGAAATTACAAGCTAATTAATGAAATTTGCGTGCTTCATTAGTAACATCCAAAAATAGTGCGAATTAACCTTGTACGAAATGCGGCACAAGCTATAAATGCTAATATGAATCCTATACAAACAAGGTTGATACTTGAAAGGCTCTAGTGCACAAACGCTAAAGATTCAGCATCATGCCACTCTTTTTAAGTGTAGAAAACATTTTTATATTCATTCTAGTAGGAGTCCTCTATCCAGGCAGTATTGTCATACAACGTCAGAGAAACTTACGATTAGCATAAAGCCTAAAAATAAAATATTTATAAAACTTACTTCTGAACACAATAACCAACAGCAACATGAGCCGCATGGGATTCGGCCAATTTCAAAACTTTTGTCTGGTCCATATTAAGTTCGCCGGGCACTGACTGCACCAGTTGACGCGAGTCAGATAATCTGATAATCGTGAAACCATTGCCCAAACAGTGCAATTTCTTTATTGCTCGTACTGCATCATCCTGACAGACATCGGCACCATGGGAGCTCTTGGTTCGATTCAGTTCTGAAACAAGGTCCTCTAGAGGCATCAGCCCGCCAGTTTGTCGTTGGTTTGCCATGCAAATCTGAAATATTATAGCGAAAAACGCAAAATGACATGGTACGAATGACTACAAATTCACCAGAAACCTAATGTAGTTTAGGCATGAAATGAAAGCATGTCCCGCCACAGAAAAACAAGCCTTTAATTTAAATGGTGCTCTTGGTATTCGTTGCGCTGTAACAACGGTAACCGATAAAAAATAAGCACTTTAGACTGGTTACATATACGCGTTTGCCCCATGGAGACTGTCAAATAACCAAAGGGATGCGGTCATTGAAAACGAAACATGGCTACGCGAATTTCCATTTATGACAATGCTAAAGAGGTAGGCGGGCAGTAAAACATTACAATCTTCACATCGTCGAGAAATGGGTCAAAGAAAGTTGACTTCACCAGACAAGAGATGCGATAATAATTTTGACATCTGATGAAGCAATACTACGAGAACTTGACGAAAAAGGAAACCGATCACCGCACATAGAGGGCATAAATTGTCTTCTCAATTCTTATTTCTAATAAGAATTTAAACAAAAAAATAAACCATGAACAGTCAAGTTATTTACCTCAATTATTCGGACACCAAGGTGATAGTAAAAATCCCCGATGCCCAGAATTTTGGACCAGTAACCATTGCTAGATGCAAGAGGATCAACCCCAATATTTGCGCACATAGATTGAAATTCTGTTCGAAATACGGGGTCTTGTCTTATTTTGTTTTGGTACTTTGAAGCAAAATACTCAAGCGAGGACTTCACAGTTTCCAGCTGCCTGCGAAAGTCTGCTGCTGCATTATCGGCTATTTGTCTCCGTTTTTCTTCATACCTAGCTTGCATCAAAGCCTTGTCCTTAATCCCAGCTATGCCTACCCGACGGTTCATCATCACCAAAACTGAGGGGAATTGAACAGTGCGGGAATACAGCTTGTCAATTCAAACTAAGCAAAATGAATGTTGCATTATGTTGAATATAATTTGCATTAATGAGTACCTTCTTTACTGAATTTTGACTATTAATTTGGAAAACAAACAATAATACGATTCAGTACCCTATAAAACAATTACTATGCTGTATTTCGGAAAATTTCTGAAGGCTAACTGACTGCAGAATTTGGTCTAAGACACCTTTATCGCTAATAGGTGCCAGTCGAAATATACATTTTTTGGCATCCATCAATGTTGCGGATGTTCTAATAAACTGAGGTAAGGTTGTTTTTTGCATACCTATTCCTAGTTAAGCATTCGTATATTACAATTGTAAGTTAAATAATACTTTGACATATGTGTTAATATTGTCTGTTGCTCAAAGTAGGGCAAAACAAATTTTTAATTGAATCTTAATGTAATACAAATTTCGTGCGTGACAGTCGGTGACTAGGAAGGATGATTAGGTGGCTGTCGCCCAGTTAAAGTCTAAATCAAAAGTCAATTATATTCTGTCACTTATGAATTTTCGAATTTTTCTAATCAGTTGACAGGAAAGCATGCGTTTCTAGACAAGATTAACTATATGGTCGTTTAGGACGGCCATATGTGAGGTCCCAGATGTTTACCTACTAGTGACAGTATGTGTTACCGTTACATTTTCAAGGCTATTAACAAATAGACGATTGCTGCTGTTGCTCGATTTGAATTTTAAATGGCTTAATAATATATTGACTGCGTAGCTGTGAAATCTCTATTACTCAAGTTGTTTGCTAGGATCCGTTAACCAACTGATTTTAACTACCCTTAGTCATTGACCATTATTTCTGCAAGTTGACCAACTGCAAAAATACACGTCATAACCCTGAAAAGGAGGCAAATAGACAGAGCTGACCTTAGCATTCCACATATTACTGTGCGCTTTGTTTCATGTATTTTCAATTTCCTACATGATAGTAAATCTAATATAAATGGCCATGAATTAAATTTAGCTGATATTACCCATTTTGATGAAACGCTACAAATTGCGGGTGCATAGTACTGAATCCCGAACTTCAAAATGTTGGTAACTTTATCTAACAATCAAAGTACCAAAAGTACTGGTTTGTTTACTGTAATTTAGATTGGTGCATCAACATTAAACCAGATTTTTTTGCTTTTAAGATATTTCATTATAGAAATGAAGTGTAGTTAAGTTGATAATGCGTGTTTTTAGTGTGTTTTTCTTCTAACATGGAAGTTGCAACTCCAAAATGTGTTTAAAATCACTAACGTCTGGGCGACTTTAATTTGCGTTCATAATCCTAAATTTGTTTGAAATAAATTAAATCTGCCTTGAATGCTATCTACCTTGTGCTTGATATTATAGTTCTCTCTGCAAATCATAGTGGAACTGCGAAAATGTGTGTGTTTACAACTTAAAAGTTTCTTCAATCACGATTTGATCACATTGTCATCAGGATACTATGCAAAACACTAGTTTTCAGAACCTATAGATGTGAAATTAAAACGTTACTACTTCTCCTCTAACGTGGTCGATGTTCGTTTCGTCTGCTTTGGGATGGCGTCTATCGTAGGTAACAAATTCTAATTTTATGAGAATTTATGGTAGGTTTTATGAATTGTTGATCCATCCTTATTGTATAAACTGAAGAATACAAGGGGATTGGGATTATATCGAATGGTTAGAATCTGAAAATGGAAGCAATTTTGGGACACCTGTCCTTATCACATACTTTGATCAAAGGTATGCTTGGTCGCAGCTAGGATACAAGGAAAGCTAAAGACAAGAGTTTGAATTGCTAAGTGTTTTGGCGCAATACTCTGAAGATACGGAGATCTTTTTGGGCTCAAAACTAAAAGCGTTTCCGCACTTTGCAGCTAAGGTATGTTAATTAAAGGATTTACTTACTTTAGGTTTCGAAAAATGCTCTGATTTCCTCGACTCCTAATTTTCTATCCTGTCCACCTCGGACAGCATCCATAACTACAGCACACTCGCCACTGACCTTTCAAAGGAGGAAAAGGTCCGTCGATTCCATTTGACTCGTTTGTCACGCCTGCGTTCCTGACCTGAACGTTTTTTTTACTGGCAGTTGGCATGTTGAGCCCGTCTCCCATTTTAATAAAAAAGTCACTTCTCAAGACATTCTGCCATTCTTCGAATCTTGATGTGTGACTGCTATACTTCTGTATCGCCTGACTCTTGGTCCTGTTTCTGTCCCATCGCTCAATCTAACTTTCACCCTATAGGTTCGCCTTTATCAGCCTGGTTTTGTTCTCCAACTTTCATCTAACTCAATCACGTATCGTCTTTGGCCCCAATTACCGCCGGACGAAGCCCAATCTCCGGGACCCTACTATTCTCCTGACAACGCCAAATCTCTGGACGCTGCCTAACTTATTCCAGCGACAACCAATCATCTTAACTTCATCACTCGACTCTCGTTTTTCTTATTCTGGCCACACCTCTCGACTCAAGGATCTCGACATTCGACGCTTGCATAGCAAGTCTTTTTGATCCATTCTCGGCCTGGTTCTTGATTCTCAACTAGATTGAACGACGTCAACGATCTTACGATTCTATATCATGCACAATCATTCCAACGACCAACCTTTCAGATATCCAGCTGGTAGAAAAGGTTGTATCGCCAACAGCGATTCATCTTGAACGACTTCTGACGATAGAAAAACGATTGCTGCTACACGCTATGGTAGGCGCTTTCAGTGGCCTGATCGTTACACTGCCTGACCTCCTTTTCTCATACCCTGACCATCACCTGACTCAAAACCGATCCACCTCGACTTTCGAGTCTCGTCTAGTTTACTCCATTTTGGATTCAATTTCGTTTAACTTGCTGTGTTTCTCGACTCTTAAGCGCTCGCTTCCAGCTTCCAGACTCTCCTAGGACACCGCGAATCACACACACAATGCCTACTTTCAGAAAATCCTATTAAAAGAAAAGGTTCGTCCATTCCATTGGTTAAGGAGGAGAGCTGTCAAGATTCTTATTGATCCACGTCTAATAACCCAGTCGCCCCAGCTTCCAACACACGTCCCCCTTTTCACGGCGTGCCCGTTAGTCACGTGAGGCCGCCGGTTCATTGACCCCTCTGCATGCACCACCATCACCACTTGCTTTAGTCATGTGACCTCACAGACGCCTGTGTTTATTTTTACATGTCCAATCAACTGTATCAGTAAACACTCACAACTCGGTTAAGCTGTCTGGTAAACGGTCGTGCCTGCCATCGCTGGACTTATTTTCTTCCTGGGTTACTTCGTGTGGTAAAGGGCCTCAACAATACTTTGGTGTGGACCGTGAGTGCATATCTACGGAAATAGTCTGACAACAGTTAGCATGTCTTTGGACTCTTCAAGATAGTCTTCTTCGTAACATGGTTCCAAGGCCTTTAAACCGGATTGCATAATCAACAACACCCCCAGTGACTACTCGCATTAACTGACCACTTTTACACACTTGTATATTCTCGTGCAAATTAACCTTACTCAAATTGGGTTTTGGTTTTCTTTTCTATCTCCGGCTACTTTGCTGTCTATGAATCCCATTTGCAACATATGCTTCTATAAGCAATAGTCAACTCAAACATTTAATGTTACTTGTATTTAGGAATTTTTTTTCAAAAGCAAGATAACTGGTACTAAATCTTATTAACTTCTGCTGAGAATAATTTACTGCTAACTTTGTAACAAAATTCCAAAGCATTAAAACACAAAAAACAGTCCTTCTATTTCTCAACGCAATAGCATCTTTAATCCACGGTTCTCTGATGGAAAATCAAGTAAACAGAGGTTTCGCTTAAGAAGGGAGTATTATAATTTCATTTGAAAAAAGACAGCCTACTTCTGCAAATGCAAGTGTCATTCACTAAATAACTTTCTCTTTAAAAGTAAGAAAAATATTTGTGCTGTCATCAGTGCATAAAACTTGTGGGCCCCAGCATGTGGTCTTGAACCACGTCGGGGCCACGGAGTTAACCCTGGTCCGATTACTCATGCCTAATACCCGCAATGAAGAAAAAGATCGGAGAGGGCGTGGCCACAACCGTTTACTTCAGAGCTCAGCCACGTTGGTGTTGTTGTGTCATATGTGGGGGTTGCGAGTGTGTATTTATACCTGGGATGTGTGAGTCATACATGCGCTAACATCGAGACCTATGTGGGAGAATAATCCAAGATACATATCAGTGTGAATGAGGGGGGAGTTGAGGACCTGCGCGGCTGGCGACATGCCGCGAAAAGGAGAACCCTGTGTCGGAAGTGTGAATAAACACGATTCACAACAAACTCATAAGGGGCCTTTAAGTTTGTTTCCAGTGTTCGATTCGCAAAACATCATATTCACTGTGTGTTTACTTCTTGGCTTCATCTGTGATTTCAAAATGCTTGCAAAAATGTAGAATCTGACATTCCACTTTCAAGGTAATCCATGTTTGCGGCAACATCCCAAAGGACCTGTCTAATAGTATGTTTCTTTGCATACCGTAAATATTGTAAAAATTCCCTAAATACGCAGTTGATACGTAATAAGCGTAAGACCTGTGACACTTCGACGATAACGCCTAGACCCGTCAGTTACCTGGAAGCAAAAACGGATCAAAGTAGTTAATTTATTCAGTAATAATGTGTAAAATGAAAAGGTGTGAAAATGGATGATACTCCAACTTAATCACCTTGGTGCCTGCTGAAACGCTTACTGAAATTGATACATTAGTGCTCATTTCTTAACCAGCAACCGAACTCGATTATAGGATATTTATCACCTCCTTTACCTGTCTCCATTCTGGTTGCCAAGACCTGTACCGCTTTTTTTCTATGCAGATGACTTCATTTTTCGTGTACAAGTAAAATGCATTTTTACAGGGCAGTTAAATTAGTGACTGATGGAGCCCTTTGTTAGTATTGTAAATCGATGAAATTGAGGCGCTTAAGAATGTTTGGGCTCTTTTGGACGGCGTTTGAACTCAAAATAAAAAAAAAATTGTTATATTATTGTTTAACCCCAATTTCACCAACCACAAATTCAGATTTCTAAAACGACGAATATCCAGCTAAACAACTTAACTTCGAGCTTAACGTTGATGTAATTTTCTATTTTAAAAAAATGCACGTACATATCACGTTTATCTGGACATTTTAAGACTTTGAATCAATAAATAATATGTTTCCTTGATACTAAGTTCGAGCCACAATGGTCTTCAGATACTGCCTTTGTTGTAAAAAAGGTCCAATGCAATTTTTTTAAAAACATTTAAGCTAAACATATGCCATAAAACGATTGGTCTACATAACCGATTCTACTTTTATATTGGGATCGTCTGCTACTTAAAGGCCTGGTTTAATTTTTTTCAAATTAGAATCGCCCGGCTTTAAAATTTCATGCAACCAATGGGGCATTACCCAATGAATTTTACTGCTTAATTTGCCTATCGCTTTAAGCCCATTTATTAAGCAATCACACGACTGTTCGGACTTAATAGTGTTCAAGAGTGACCTTGTTAATCCAAGTGAATTAATTCTACTTGTCTCGTTAGAAGGCGCTAGTGCATTCTTACACAAAAATATTATTTAAAAGACATTTATAATAGTTAAATGAATTTAGGTTAGATTATGTATGAAAATCGTTATGAACTGTGTTAAAGGAAACTAATTAAGTCGTGTTTTGACTCCTTTTTACAATATTATCGGGTTAAGAGTATTTATTTGGCATATCTTAGACGTTTCCAACTTGAAAAGGGTTTAGGCTGTTTGTGTAGAGAAACATGAAAACTGTAACCAACCAGTAGACGGACACCTTTATTTACACTAAATCGGGAAAAAAAGTGGAATTTTGTTACACTTCGTCATGTAACCTTTTCAAATTAACTTTCCATTTTGTTATCCATATTGAAGGAAATGCTGCTTGAAACGTGTAAGTCGATTTAGAGCTACCGGGGAAAGATGCGCAGTCGAAAAGAAAAATAAATCGACAAATCTGCAGGAACATAGCACCCAAGGTGACTACATATAATAGAGTCCCCATGAAAACACGTCAGAACTATATTTGCCTTATTTAGTGTTGTAAACTTGTATGGGGTCTTCTGTAATCTAATTACAAAATTGTACTAAATTGGCAGGTAACTCATTTATTATATTTGAGAGTTGAGTTGCAAATCTTACCAGGACTGGACTGCAATTCAAGTAACAGCGACCTTGCGAATCCGACCCGATGTATTAAAAGTACTTGACACGTTTAACCTTAAACAAGCAAAAACAGGCATTTTCATGACGATTTTTAGGCTGAGAAATTGTGGTGCTGACGTAGTGTATCATTTTGCTCTGCTGAAATCGAAGGGAGGGGGTGAAGATTAAAATGTCGCCATGGTAGCCAAACATAACAAACAGTCAAAGTTTAGGTTACGCCCATTATATTAAAAGAGAGCACATAGTTAACTATCAGCAAAGCTAACTGGGAGCAGGATAAAGTGCTTTGTGTTCTTGGTTTTTAAATTCAAGCTGGAGACTCTGTATTTCCGGTTTAAAGATAAAGCTGACATGTACGGCGACTTTTAAATAGAAACATTGGAATATTAGGAAGAGCAAAAATATATGTGTCCATCAAGTTTCATAGTAAATCCAAGTACAATAAAAAAGCCGAAGGAGATAAATTTACTTAAGTGTACAATCCAGTCTAAATTTCACATGGTGACAAATGACTTTTAATAATACAGATCGATCAGAATTGAAAGTACAGTTAAGTAGACATGATCTTTCTAAAATTGAAATAAGGAGTTTGAAATTTCATTTGAATCCTATGCGTCTTCGTCACTACAATTGTTTTTCCTCTTTTCACGTGCTATTCAATTTGAGGTAGTCGTTTACTCGCACGATTGTTAACCTCATACTACCGAACTAGTTCATTTTTTTAGCGGCAATATTTTGTAAAACAGAGGCTATGGAATTCAAATTGACTTCTCTATCAAACCTTTTTCGAGGTGGGGTGGTGACTACTCACTGAAAAAGAAACGTTTGCGGGATTTAGAAGCCCTTAGAATCTCTGCATCCAAATAAAATCAGCAGCCAGTGAACATTAAAATTACACAGAATTTTAAAATGCAATGTGTACTTAGACTATCACAAATTTCAGGACTTTCACAAAGCTTTATTGATCACTTGCAACACAATTATGTAAACATAACCAGTATTTAGTAAATTTTAGAGCAATCCATTTGACTATCATTATCTCCCCAAAAATGTGTAAAAGAAATAGTTTATTTAAAGACAGCGCAATGAAAATTGGGGCCATGCATTGAAAATGCAGCACATCGAAGCTCATTAAAGTCTGGAAAAATTGAGGGAGGTCCAAGTAAATGCCATTTTGGATGTGTTATTCGCCGAGTAAACTCGAAAACTTACATTCAAACTTGTGTTTAGTATTTAAAAGCGTTTACGTTTTCCAGTATGTTACCGCTCAAAACATAAGGAATGTATTTAATTTCTCTCACGTCTCCCTTGTTGCTAGAGTGTGGTTTACTGTAGTCGTTGGCGCACAACCTTTAACATATTGGAAATAGCTTAATTATGGACCTTCACCTAAGAATAATTATTGGCGGAGATTATTTTGAATCACAACTCCGCCGCCATTCCTACTCCTAATTATTGTGACTGTTATCACAGCCCAATACAATGTTTGTGCCCCATAACACATCAAGTCATATGAACTATTTTTTACTCAGTAATTTCCAACAGCAAGTTATTTCTAATATAATCTAATCTTGTAATTACTGAATCAACATTTGGACTAAATTTTCTACTTAGACCTACATATTGATGTTAACGTAACCGATCGAAGGAAAAACGGGAGTGGCATAGCGTAGTATTTCCATGTTACTCTACTAGCTGACGGCTGTTAAATTTATTCTCCGTGGTTGTGCGTAGAACAGCAACGAGACTGATTCACCCAAACATTGATGAGCATTAAAACAGTGTTGCTTCTAGAAGCCTGTGCGCATGACTGCTCAAATTAAAGAGGGGAAATTACGCAGACACCCCGTCAGCTCAGCAATGTTAAGCAAGCACTTACGTGCGCACTGATGCACCCGCATGAGCCTTGGCCAAGTAAATCGACTCGTATCCGAGTCCTTTTATGCCCAATCAGCGAGCGAGAACGGCGCGAACGTACGCGACGGCCTCGCGGAGGTTTCACTTGTACGTTGCGTGCGTGCTTGGGCGTTCATTTTCGCAAACTTCCGCACTCACGCGCGTTCACAAGAGTTCCTCTAGTACGTTACACACGTGCCCACGCTAGCTCTATCACGTCTCGTGCGCCCATACAGCACAATCGGTCACTTGTTCGCTGATGCATGAAATCTGATGCGAGTGGGGAAATAATTATGTACGTATCAAAGCAGAGGATAAGTGGGTCATTCGTGGTGGTCGTCGTCGCCGTCGGCGGAACATCGTGGATAGCTACGAGCCGCTGATGGCTGAAGAGTCTGTTGACAGCGGGCTACCAAGTGAACAGTTACAGGCATCCAGATCCAAATATCGACCACAATTTCCGCTATCACCACATAGCCAGCACATTTCCACTACACGATCACAACATTCTCCGCTTTCATCTTCGTACACTAACCGGAATCCCGTGCAGACGTATGCCGTCGTGAATTCAGAAGACCATCGGATGTCCACAAGTGGTGGGATCAGTAGTAACAACAACAATAATGGCCAGAATCCATCGCCCAGTACTACTGCAGCCGCTGCGACTCAGTTTTCACGCTTCCCCTCTCACCTTCAGCACGTTTCCCCACGAGTTCATTTCGGGGACACACTGGGTCGCCATCGATTTCGCCAAGCACCAGATTCAAACCGAGTTCGAGCACCTCCACCCTTTGTCCGAAGTTTTTCTTCAAAAACTTTCGAAGTCAGTGACGGCTTATCCCACTCTTCTCTACCTCGTCCTTCAAGTCCCCAGCCCGATCTTGTGCACCAACACCGAGATGTACTATTGGATAAAGGAACACAATGTGAGAGGGAAACGGGAATCCCATCCAAAACACAGACCCATTCAAATCCCCTTCTTACAGCTTTGCTTGCTGCTGCGAATGCTACAGTAAATTGCCCTTCCGGGTCCTCGGAGTTGGATCCAACTTCACGAAGACGACCACAATTTCGAGCTGGTGCTCTACCTTACTGGTCAGATTCGGAAGTTAATGCTTACGATTCCTTGGACACCTTCAACGTTGCCCAACAGAACTCTATTGGGGTCGTTGGTGGCGGTAAGGGATACCCGTCCGCCAATGTCGTAGCAGCGGCCGCGACAGCGGCTGCGATGGCTTTGGCAGCTGTACAGTCTACATCGAGAAGTCCCCCAACAAAGCCTGTGGATGCACCTCTGGGAACACCAATTTCAATGGCAAACGTACATTTGGACGATCTATCTATTGGAGCTGCTGCAATGCGGAGCTTAACTGGCCAGTTTGCAGATACTTCGCTGTACTCACGTTTCCCAACCAATGTTGACCAGAGGAAGTCTGTGAATTTCGATCCTACTTTATTGCACAAGCAGGATATTTATGGCACTTCTGGTGTAGACTTATCGCAGTTTCCTCCTCAAACACAACAACCCACTTCATTAATGGATAAAAATCACCAGCGGATGAATCTTGTACCACAGTATTGTAAGTTATTAATCACTCAGTTCATTTTCAAAATAGTTCACGTGTTTTGCCATCGCAGTAACACCTCTAAGTAAAATTGAAAATTTCTAGAATGAGCCCTAAATTCCCCATTAGTATATTCAGTTAAGAAAGTAAAAATACGGACTTGCATCAATTTCGTCAACGGTCTTCTCCCATTGTTTCATCGCGTTGTTGATAGTATTGTGCTAAAATATCTCGGTTAAAACTCAATGAACTTATCAGGCCAATTATTAAGATTTTCGTCGTTTTCGAAAGTCATGCCATGAAGTTGGCTTCAAAGCGAGAGGCAAAGGTCAATATCTGACGAAGCAAGGCCCGAACCGCCTGTAGGCTAAGTCAAAATCTTCCAGCTGATCTTCAAGAGGACTGCCACGTTGTGCTGTGCAGTTTGCGATCCAGCATTGTCGTGCAGCAGAACCACTCCCCCTCGTCAATAAGGGCGCTTCCGTTTAATAGCCATGCTCATGAAGCGTCTCTCTTGATTATCCGACACAAAATCACTGCCATGCGATGGGGCCGTGCTGGTTGCTAGTCCCTGTCCACCCACTCCTTCCTTTGCTTGAAATTGACGTAGTAAAACATCACTTTTCGTCGCCAGTGTCAACGCGAAACAGGAACCTCTATTTGTGTTTGTAAAAGCGAATCAGTCACTCTCGTTCACTAATTCGGCATTCACCACCAATCTATCCAACCTTGTTCCGTTGATTCCACGTGGTAATAAATAGTCTTCTGGTCAAGCTTCATTTGTTTGGCCAACACTATAGTTGCTTTGGCAAAGCAACTATGACGCTTTGCGTGTAAAAATGTCGTACACAAAACGCATTAAATTGCTTGTCATGTTTTTTAAAAAAAAGCTGGTACCCTGAGAGCCTATTACGAAGGAAACATGGTGGTTTCTCGTAGTTCCTGGAGCATAATCTGTAACTCCGATTACATTTTTTACCAACGACTTAAGCGACTCACAAACCAACATTTTATTCTGTTAATTATTGGCCGATCGTCCACAGTTTTTCAACTTTCAGTTTGACCTGTTATCAGGGGCTCAAACATAAATCGCTCTTCCTCCTATGTAGGCATAGACGAAGAGAACTTCGTTTGATCACAATTACTATCTACCAGCTTAAATAAGCTCTTTGTCAAAAATTTATTATTTGCAAAACATTAACAATTTCAGATAAGACGTTTTTCCTGGGAACATGCAGACCAGTTGTAGATAAACAAATTCTAAGTGGCAGCCGATTCCCCAACCCGTGACATGCATAAAGAGATATCTATACTTACAGTTCCCTCCGATGGCTGCGGAAAACTTAGGCCATTATGCAAGGTGATGAGGTTTTTAAGGGTGTAGTTTGTTTTACCGTAAAAAGAGATTCTTCGTTGAAGAACGGCATCGGGAGTGTGCAAAATGCCCATGATCTCACAAGAATTTGTTGGTTTGCAGTAATTATTTTTTTATGAATGTCAGTAGAGTCAAACCTGTGGTATGTGCGAAAAAATTCGGTACCTGATAAACCTTTATTAAGAGTCTCGTTGCATGCTAAACGTTCAATAAACTTCTGAATTCATTTTCTAATAAAAGTAGCAGGGCATTTGTCCTTTTCAAAGTGTCTCTAAGCCTAATCTCGCAGTTCCAAATATATAAAAAGAGACTCCACAATATTTCCTATTTTAAAAATTTACTTTTTTGTCTATCTGGCAAACTTAATCATCAAAAATTAATTCCCTTGAAAACCACCTGTAAGAAATGTTGGTATGAGCAGTAATAGAAAATCTCAGCCAAGCTAAAGCCAACGATTCTTTTGCACGACCACATGACTTGGGAGGAGCAGGCGGAAAATGACCGAAGCTACATTTTAAGAAGATTATCTGTATTGGTGAGAAAAAGTTGCGTTTCTTAAAACACATGACCTTTAGCTTTGCAATAAATAGGTTTCACTATTTCACTTTAGAATAGGCAAACAATTTAAAATGCGTCCATGTGGCCGCCTGTCATTTTTTCTTTAAATGCTGCAGTTTGCTATATTTTAGATGCTGTAACCCCTTTAAACTAGATTGTTATAAGATGCAATTAACACGTCACGTAATACTTGGTATATAATATCTTTGTGGTCCTTTTACCTACCAATAAGTTACATGAAATTTTTATAGTTTTAAGGTAATATTCCGCCGCCTATCGTTTTTGAAAACTTTCATAAATATGATTCACTTTGTCCAAGCTACAAATCAACGCGCAAGGCGATGATTAGATTAAAAACTGATTTACACGGTGTCACAGACTGAAAAACCTGGCTGTGACTTTTTTGTCACACGGTTGTCAAATGGACTTTCTTTGCTAAATTTCGCAACATAACATTACAGATTAATGCAGATCTATAAGCATTCATAATGTCACGAACCTCGATAACTTTTGGATCTTGCTTATTTGATTTTTTTGCATTAAAAGAGTGATGTATATTTTGTTTAATGGATCATGGTGTGACATTTTTGTGTGTTCTGGAAATACTTAGGCAAGATGTAAACGAAATCACAGCAAGACATATGATATGTCTTCATGTGTGCAAGAACCCATCAGTGGAAATAGTTTAAAAGGATGTAAAATTAAATGGCGCCAGCTTACATATGATAACCGATCGATAACAGTGCACTGCCAACCACAAAACTGAAGGGCTGTCTTTCAGAGTTTACAAATTCTGCAAATGCAATTTTAGTTTCTTTGAGAATATATAAAGGTTATAGGCTATAAAGGTATTAAAAAACTGTTGAGCTTTATTTTAGCTACCATATGTTTGCATATCACTATTTTATGTGGAAGCTTAACTGATCTTTCCTTCACTAGCGCCATTGTTGCTCCGAAAAATTAATAGATGAAGCAGACATTAACATAGGTACATATTTATATGTGTATATGCGTGTATATATCCATGGGCATATAAATGCCCACATCACTTTGCCTTTGCGGAAACCGGCGATGATGCTAATAAGTTGCTTCGACTGCTTGTGCAAAACGACGCCAGTTGTGGTAAAAAGAGCGTCTAGGAGAAGGGAAGAGAAGGTGGTGTTTGTATTAACCCTATGCCATTAATCTCAGGATTTGGCCGCTCTCACTCCTTTGTGCTGAGTTTTGAGGTGGTGATAGTCTGCTACACAGACACTCAAAACCATTTGGGGCTCAGCATTTTCATATGGTATTTTAATTATAATTTCCGGCTTCTGCTTCCAAAACGACTCCACTCGGTTAGTGAAAGCGGCTCGATCCGTTGAACCACCATTTTACACACATGAACTTAATTCGTTATCCAAATGAATAAAATATGCCCTGCCTAAAAGTTGATAATTTTCAAAAAATTACCTAAGCGCAAGTGGGACATTCGTAGTAAGTATGCCAAATTACTAACGAGCTAAAATACTGACCTCGATTGTTCGTGAGTGGAAACATACTTTGAGAACAAGTTGTTTATCAAATGTCACCAAACGAATCACTCCGTGAAAAAACTAAATTTCAATATATTCAGCGATTTATAATTTTCACTGTTGCAACTTAGAGGCGCATCACCGTTATGCCACAGCGCAATTATGTTGAGTTTTATCAATTTATTAGAAAGACTCCTATGGAGTGAATCAATAGCAAGTAGCGAGGCCACATCAAGGTTTGGAGTTTGTACTTTCGCGTCAATTTTTTAGAAAAGTTCGCATTTAAATTGCATTTGGTCAAAAAAATGCAGCAATTTTTTCTTTTTTGTTTACTACTGATCAGTGATGGAAGGTTAACTCATAAATTTAAATACCAACACAGTTTTCTTTTTATCTAGCTCACAGTAATAAAATGGGAAAGGCGACCGGATTTTTATTTTTCATTATTGCGTTTACTTAGTTCCACGATCGTGTACCAAAGTAAAGTGTATTAAATTATTAATTTTTGTTCTCATATCCAAATGAGGTGTTCTGCAAAGGCTGACTGCAATCGTATCCGCTGAATTCAAATTTCATTGACGTATCTGAATCCTGCGCGATGCCCATTCTATCTGAGTGTGCTTCACCTTAGCGTGAATTATTTTTTAGACGCCTACATTGAGCTATTGTAACTTTGTGGATGAACGCTCTTTATTCGAAAAAAAAACTTAATTGGTTATTCTGCCTATTGGTGCTCAACGGAAGCCTTTTAGATGCGTGCATTCTCAGTCCAGATGGACCGGCCGTAGCAGGTTAACATGGGGCTTTGCCGACAGCTAGAGCAGCAGACTAAGACCGAAATTGCATTTTGGCATTCGTATTCTATTGTTAACGCAACCCACATCGGTTCGGGTCATGCAGTTCAGGGTCAAGTTTATCAAATAAGAAAAGTTGGATTGAACCTTAAATGTACTTTGTCCTAATCTTAATTTTGAAAGCAGATGAGATGCATTTAAGATATTTATATCGTTAAGACTGATAAACTTTGGCTTAGCATGTGAACTGATTTAACGATTACGACTTTTCTGCAGTCATTTGGGATAAAAAAATCCTACTTAAGTAATACCTTTCATTTAAGGAAGTTAGCTGCTGCAATTGATTAGCAAAAGCTTGCACACCAAATACTTTGATTTCAAGGTTTAAGCATTGTAAGTTAAGGTTATATTGAAACCAGACACCTAAGATTGTTGAAAGTGTGGATTGTGTGGAAACTGCGTCAAGCCATGACTACGAGGATACCGCATTATTAATTCCACGATAAATGGACTTGCTGTTGGTATTTTTGCATTTAAAAATGCTCCCAGATAAAGAAACTTTTCATGTTTGAGTTTCAGAAATCATCTTCTCTTTACAGTAGGAACAATAGACTTTCCTATTTTTGAGCTTGCACTAATGTAAGTCCTGTCTCCACGGGGTTTATTATCGTGCCAAATGGTAAAGTTAAACAAAAAAATGCACATAAAGCGACATTCATTTTTTCGGAATATTTTGCTCGAAATGAACGATCGCAGATATTTTTGACCACAAATTGAGGCATGGTTCCCTTTTTTTCTCGTTCAACAATCCATGTTTGTGTGTCAAACTACATTAGTTTGTTCAGCTAGACGCATCAATAGCTAATTTCTCTTTCCCAGTTAGTTATGATATGATATGATGACGACAAAATTTTCACCCCATATCAACGTCAATTCAAACTGCTACAATTATATCCCTAATAGGATTCAATCTTGAAATAAATAAACTGGATTGTTGATTTCGTCAGTTATTGGAGTTATTCTTTTTTTCAGTTCAAGAGCTTCCTGGAGGCCATCTACGATACTCTCTGGGCGAAGAATCTAGCATGTTTCAACAATCTCATATCCTTCCTGATACTTCTGTTGTAAGTAACCAAGAACGAGGCCTACCCTCTGGAAGTGTTGGAAGCATAAGTTGCACCGGTCCAACTATTCCTCGGCCACAACTTCCATCTTCTTTGAACTCCTCTCAGTTTAACCTTCTCTGCAGCGAGCCCTATCCCAGTCCTAATCAGCCGCACCCTCCGATCGTCCAACGCCATTCCCCCATCCATGAGTCATCCTCCCCTTCCACACGGTACCGTGGACCCGCGAACGCTGACGGGGGAGGAGGTGAGTGTGCCAGTAACTCCGGTGGAGGAGGGCTTCTCGTTGTCAACATCATTGCTGGTAGTGGCCTTAAAACCCCTCAAATGCTTCTGCGTGATCTCTATTGTGTTTTGGAGACCGATTCTGTCCGCAAGGCACGGTCCATGATCCGCACAAATACAGATTACTTTGAGTGGGACGAGGTCTTTGAAGTGGAGATTGAAGAATGTCGCTTCCTATCAATATTAATTTACCAATGGGATGCCCATACTCGACATCGACTTTGTTTTTATGGTGGGATCGACTTGACTGGCCTGAGTCAGCAGACTTTCAACGACTCTGCCAGTAAAGAACCGGAGGTGGTGGAAGGGACAGGCAATGAATGTCGCCCATTGACGAGTCCTTTAATTGAACGCGCAGGGATGCACTTCGAAAAGATTGCCCTTCAACTTGAACCTAGAGGTATGCTATACCTACAGTTAGGCTATCTTCCGATGAACGTACTGTATATGCGACGAAACTTGTCAACGGCCTATGAAACTGCATTTTTCGGAGTGAGTCTGGACGAGCTCATGTACAGAAACCGGATGCTTTCCAGTCTCGGCGTGATTTCAGATCCCGTGGTGCCACTATTAATACGCAAGTGTGTCGAGGAGGTGGATAGGCGAGGCACGGAGGTAGTTGGGATTTACCGGCTTTCGGGCTCTGTGTGGATGAAACTACAGGTGAGGGACCTGTTTACACGGACTGCAGAGAAGATCGCACAAGCGCTAGTGAAGCGGAACGAAAAGGCTTTAAGAGGAGCTATTGCGGCTCTGGATATCTCTGCTGATGTAGTGCCTGATATACACGCGATCACCGGTGAGTGAACTTTATAATGTGACCTGGGGTGTTGATTTAAAAACTTTTAAGCAAAAAAATCATCGGGGTGTACCAAAAATGTACTGGTTTGTGTTTGTCAATGCAAAAGTGGTCGATCAACTACTTTGGGTTTGAATTTGATAACCTCATGTGAATAAAAAATCTGGCAACGAATTCACCGTTCGAGTCACATGATGAAGTATACAAACAGCAGACCGCATTGGCACTTTGAGGCAAAAGGCAAATTGTCATGATACTATCATTTTACGTAGTTGCATTGTGTGGTTTTCACGCCATCACACAGTAGACAGGGAAATGCCTTAAATCGGGTAGTGCCAAAGTGTTGAAGCTTCAGCTTCTTCTTAGTTTTCGATTCAATACACTCGTTTTTAACATCCTATTAATTTTTTACTTTATTTATTGACTGTCGGTAGAACTGTGTTTAATTCCTGACAAAATCTGGCCCGCTGGCCAATATTTGCAAGATCAGTACCCTTCTAAATGGCTTTATTTTAATCGTTATGCTATGAATTCATACCCAAAACAGAATACTAACGTTCAACTCAACGTTTAACTTACTCTTAGTACCGTTAGTACCCTCTGCTATTTAGATAAACCATGTGCATCACGATTCCATTTCATCGGAGATGCATCAACGCGAGATTTTCAACAACCTTTGGAAATAGGATTACGATGGCGGATATTTCCACATGTATTTTTGCAAAATCAGTTTCAGTAAATCAACAGCGAATACCGTCATACTTCCAAATCAATATGTAACAATTGTTGTATCCGGATATTTTGCGATTTATTGCACTTAGTGTATGCTCATGAGAGAATAATATTCTTGGCAAAATTCTAGAATTTGTTAATTTTGCGTACAGTTTACGCTACGTATTGTCTGCCTATCAGTTTGGTTTAATTGCTTGTCTTTGCATGAATTTCGTCAATCACAAAATTACAGTTCTTTCATTAGAGCTTACTGCGCTAGCTCACAATTGTTTATACTGTTGCTTATTTTAAGAGAGTACCATAGTGAAATGTTTTTAAATTGTTTTGTTATTGACAACCAATACACTCATCTAGTTTGATGCTATGCGACCCGGTGGAGATTTTGCAGAGCAGCAATGATTTTCGCCACCTAAAAAGTGTATGTGTTCGGTATCGGAAAACAGGCAAACCAAACATGCTAGAAACAAGAGGCTTGATTACACAAGTCGTAAATCACGCGTCAGGGGTTCATGAATTGGGACCTGAAACGCATCTTCTGTGAAGCTTGCAAAACTCTAAAACACCAGTTTGGTTCACGGGTCTAGCATGATGTACAAATTGCTCAAAGGCATAGTAGTTAGCTAAACTCCCGATATCTGCGGATATCCTACTTTATGGTGCTCGAAGGATCCAATGCGTCAATTGCCATCTCGCATGTTAACTTTCAGCAACCCCGACTGCTAACTACGCCAATGGTGGATGGCAATCTCTGGGGGCAATCGTCAAATACCATATGACAGAACTCGAATGCGTTGAAAGGTGCTGGTGCCGAAGGCATTGTGTTTGAGTAACAGAGCAAGCGGTGGCCTGGGGCTTACCTCTTCATTGGACGTGGTTGTTTCCGTTTAGTTAGGGATTGAGCTCGAGATCATCTTATTTGGGACATAAACTGGTGATAGACTATTTCGATTTTACAAAGCTCTTGTGATCTCCAGAATATCCATGGCAACTCAGGGAATGGTGAAGATAGAATGCATTTGGCGCGATTACTTTTTTACTGTTTATACCTCGTTGTGTGTGTGTGTTGACGTAGTCTTATAGGATGATTTCGTTAATAGTAAATATTAGAAGTAAACGTGGTCCCATAGACGATTAGGTGAGGACTTAGGTATTAATCTTTTACTTCTGACGACGTCTTCTACTTGGCAGACCCCACAACAAACCTTTGCAGTTGTTAACCTTCCAGTAGTAAATCGTACAGCGAGCCGGTGTTCTATTTTTAGCAGGCAATATAAAGCTTTTGAACCAGCCAAAAATGATTTGAAGTCACAATCAGGTTTTAATATTTCTTAAAATTCTTTGGCGAGTAAAATTGCTTAGGGTTATTTGGGGGCCAGTTAAGCGAAAACATCTTGTAGGGTAAACGAAGTGCTTGAATCAAAGACCTTAAGTGTGCAGACACAGTAGAGCTATGATGGTCACTTAGACTTAACTCAAGCCTTGAGCTTTCTTGGGAAAAATCAAGAAAATTGAAACCTTCGTACCTGTCAGTCCATGCACCTTCAGATTACCTCCTAATTCACGTCCAGTCAGTGTGGCCGGCATGACCACTGTGCCTCTACGTTTAATACCTAAAACCCTGTCTGAGTAAGGGTTTTCGAGAACAGAGTCCACACTATTAATGTGCTAATGTCACCTAGCGCTGGTAAGGATTTCAAGTCATCGCAGGTTTGCCAAAAGATACCTTGAGACACAATCATCTTGTTGTCACCTGCCTTATTTGTTGCACTCTTACCTACATTTCTTCTAAGCTATCAAGTACAATACTGTCACATGTGAGCACATCGAATTTAGTTTACTAATAATATTCCTGATTAAAATTTAGCACAAAATCTACTCAATGCCTACATCTCGTCGTGTGTTACGGCAATTAGTAAAATGCTATTGTTGTTAAAAATCACTCTGAAAATATTTGATTGATTTTTGTCTCTTATAAATATTTATCTTCCTTTCCTTAAAGCCACGTTAAAGGATTTCTTCCGTGAGCTGCCCGAACCATTATTTACCAATGCCCTCTATCCAATGGTCTACGAGGCGACCCAAGTCGCCGGTCCCGGAGACTCCCACATGGGCACAAAACTCATCCTCAACATTTTAGACTGTCTTCCAACCTCCAATCAAGTAAGCATTTGTCCAAAATTTGCATTTTAAAGCCAGAACAGAACACTTTCGCTACACTTTCCTCCAACAAACACCGAAAAAAACTTATTCGTTTTGTAGTGCTTTACCCATTTACTGGTCGACTTACTCATCCAAACGGTCTGGGCAATTTTTAACTTCTGCCACGCCCCACAGCTCAAGGTGACTTTCCGGGACTATGACCCAGGAAAATTTGTCTGAGATTTATTCTGAAAACAAAATTGGTCATGAAGCATCTAAAAAAATGAAGAGGGTCTACGGAAGCATCATGATTACGGTGATGCGTGTGGTCTGTGAAAAGTGTTCACTCTCACTTCATTCAAATAAATATTTCGGTTGCTATGCACCATGTCATCCAAAATTATACAATTAAAACTTGCTAAGCCAATTTGGGCATGTGTCAGTAGTGAAAGGCATTTGACCGCTTTGATAAACCCCAGTGCAACATCGTTATTAGTAGTGTTAAACTTGGATTGTTAGTAAGGTTGTATGAACTGGTTTGAAAATCTGAGTTATATACAAATCTGGATTTAAATTAAAGTTCGGATTTGGAGTTTTTTTAAGTAATAAAAAAGGCTTAGATCAGCCACGTATTAGTATATGTATAGGATCTAGGAAATAATTGTGATATAAACAATCATTGCTAGAATACACACAGGGTGCAGTTAATTGAGGACCAATAAAGTCTGCAGCAGGATCTGGTAACTGTGACTTTTTGACACGTTTTAATCATATTATTAAAGCCTAATATTCGTTTTGGAGACTTTAACTGCCACCTATCTTCAATTATTCTTGTGATACAAGAGACGTGTCTTATGGAATGCCATTAAAGGCTAGCACCATAAAGTCAATAATAAAACTAATAAAACGAAACTCACTTAAGTAGGGGCATAAGTAAAGCCTGGAGTTCTGTAGTCTTCATGTGGAGTACTTGAAAAAATTCTGGTGTGAGGTTATGCATTCCACCCGTGCACAATCTTTTTGGCTTACTTATACTACGTTGGGATGAATGTGTTTTGCAAAGCTGCAAACCTTCGACCGTCCCTCAAGTGGACGTCTAGTCACTGAAGTCTCGGCATGATTGAAGAAGGCATTTTTTTGAGTGTTGAGGCACAAAATGCCTGAATTCAGGCACACGCCTGAGCACCTTAACATCTAGGAAAGTAGACAACTGCAAGTGTGTTTATGAAAGTCAAGCATAGTTTCAAAATTCATTTTGGTTATTGGTTAATTCTATTCACAGTACAATCTTCATGCGCCTTTGTGATTAGGTGGACTTTTTAGGAACGTGTTCTGCATGACAATGTGTCCATCGTCGTCAAGTAAAGGAGATGTTAATTGATTTTTGCCAATTAATGCGTTAATTGGAGCATATGTAACAGTCCAGCTTAAACTATATCTTTTTTAATAATGGCATGATCATTTCCTTTCAATTTCGCTTACGCTAGCAACATTGATTCGAACGTTGACAAAATTCCTCCTTTTAGTTCAAGAAATGACCTTAGCATAACCTCAAAACGCTATAAAGGTATGCATGATCATAGTACAATATTTAATTTGCGAAGACTGTACAGAAACCGTGATTTAATAATTGTTATGATGGCAGCATTAGATATTTGGTGGACTAATGTAGTCAAAGCTGGTTTTGCTTAGTCCGACATTATCGACTCTATCAAGGTTCCCTTATTCAGAAGTTATACAAAGTGTTAGATTTCACCATTCCCAAAGCACACATTTTTAGAAAGGCTTACAGTACGACGGGAAAAAATTCGGGCTTTTACGACTGTTCACACGTATTGGAGATGCTAAGAGTTTAAACGATCTTTCCAATAGTATTCCAAAGTCCACTTTCTGCTACATCAAATGCGCACACGAGGTTGATTATTTTCAAATGTAACAGATCGATAATGAAGTGGAGATGCTTTATTAAAACAAGTCTTTGGTATTAATCTTAGTGTCTTTCTTGTATTTGTCAATGTCTCACAGGCTTAACCTCAGCAAATATATCTTTCGTTGGTGTTACTTTGCTATATACACATAATCGTCATGGATGTTACTTAATGCTGCAACGACCGCCTGTGAACATAGTTTCGTCTTGAACATGCTTCAATTGATAAATACCAAACGTCAAAAGTGTTACCAACAAGAATAACCTGGGTTACATGTACCCACTTCTTGGAGGGGAGTTTATTTTATTTGTGACTATATTAGTAACATTGACGCCCGTAAAAGGACCTATTAGTACCATCAATTAAAATCAGTTTCCCAAGATTGTGTGTCGCCGTCTGAATCGCTCCACTTGGGTGCGTTTTCGCACTTCGCGTGTCCGGTTATTTGCTTGTGAATACCTACTCGCTTTCGTTTATTTAGACTACTCTGAATTTTGAATGTCGTGGCAACCAGTAATAACTATAGTTTAACACAACAGTAGACATTAGTCCTAACTACCCTTTAGTAAACCGCAATACTTGGCATTTAAATCCAAATCTTTGATGGTATGTTTCACTAAGACCATAACGAAACGCAAGAAATCGAAGTGCCCACTCTTAATACGGGTTAAGTGAATGGTAAGGCTCATTCAACTGTCCATTGTGTGTTAGTCAAGGAAATCCCTGGCGGACCGCAGATAAAGAGACTGGAGTTTAGCGATTGATTTCATTGGGGTGACGTACAACTCCTCATCTTGGTTATTTAAACAATAATTTTTTTCTACTGTGACTGGTTAGTTCCCTTAAACAGCTAGAGAGCGCTCATTAAAGTAATTTTGGATAGATAAGTTGCAAACCGGAGTAGGAAGGCTAACATTATCTTTAACCTGATTAACTTTGCAGCAAAGAACCAGATTACGTTGATTTTTAATTGAATCATGTGAAATACTGCCAAAATCCATGCTTGTCTTCAGGAGGTCTGTAAGGATACAGGTCATTTCAGTATAAGTCCTCACTAAAAACAAAGTAATTATGCCAACTAGAAAAGTTTATACACGTGATTTAAGTAAATCTTTCCGCTACTGACGTGTTATTTAACTAAAAAACTTTCTAGATGTTTATAAATTACAAACTTCTTTCGTAACATGCATTAGGCTAGATGGTTATGTTGGCTGTGTCAAAGTTCAAACGTTCAATCATGTTTGAACTGTACAATTGTGTAAAGCACCTTCAAGAAGGCAATTTTACAAAGATCCAATAAGATGTTTTTGCTGCCTCTTGTGCGTAAAGGTTGATTTTAGGAGAACATGACAACCTAATTGTGCCTTAATGTCATTGGTCCCCTAGTATATTTGGTATCAACGCCACGCACATTTTTTATGGGTTAAACTTGGGATATATCTGTCGTGTTTCACTTCCTTTAAAGTGTTCTTCGTAATTTTAGCATGGTTAGAGGAATTGAATAATAATCCCCAATTAACGGCATATTTACGTACATGATTTTTATTGATAGCTAGTGTTTTGATAACACTGCGATGCGTCCCTCATTATGTTTAACGCAGGTAATAATCAGTCTAAATGGATGCAAATCCCAGCACAATGGGAGATTGTGAGGGGTTACTGAACAGACTGAACTTCACAGCAAGACTTCATTCGATGAACGGAAGAAAAGTTATAATTCAAATACACCACGACGCGTCAAAAATATAAGCTGTTCTGAATGACATTGGTGGCGAGAGTCTGCGAGAAAAGTTAAACTTAAAAACAGCATTAATTAAAAATGATATGAATAAAAATAGTTCTGTGTACCCTCACGACAAAATTGAGTAAATCATCATTTTGTGAATTTCAGAAACTTCCACGAGTAATAAGTTTGTCAAGTAACAAGAGAAAACTATTCATTTTTAGGAGGTTCTACTCTACTTACTGGACCATTTGAAGCGAATAACGAGTAAGTCGATGGTGAATAAGATGAACTCACACAACCTGGCCATCTGCCTGGCACCTTGCTTGCTTTACCCTTCCCCATCGGCGGCTCGAGACATGGATGCCTCCCTGCTCGAGCACAGCAAGATGGTCAGCATTCTTGAATGCATTCTCGACATTTGGCCATGAATATTTAGGCGACACCTCCACCTACTCTGATTGTCCTGTGCTCTACTGGCTGGCCGGTAGCTCAACCTTGCATAAAAAGCACCAAGTGAGTTTTCATCCATAAAATTAAAGCAATTGTTCCCGGAATGTTGTTCACAAGCCATGTCTTTTGATCGTAATGTGCGATTTGCCGTGGCACGGCAATGTGTCTCACATAAAATTGCCTACTAATATTTGTTATACCATTGCACAATAACAAAAAAATAACACCGAATCTTGGGTTATTTTTGATGTTCGCTGTATTCAAGCAGATGATTACACACATTTGTTCGCTTGATTGTTCCGGATGCTTGTCCCAATGTAATTTTGCATTTATAAAGTCAGTCAACAAACTGTTCCCTTCACTTTCTCTCCTGGACTGCTGAGCCTGCAAAAAAATTTGATTTGTCATTTTCAAAAGATACCTCAATAATGCGAATCGCAGACCATAGTTCATGGGCATATAATGTAATCCCTCAATATGGGTTAAAAATTTCCGCGAGGTCACGATATTAAAATCAAGTAACTGTGAACTTTATCAAACATAATGACAAGAATGTTACATTTTATGAAAGTCAAGATAGTGCAAGCGCAAATCTTGCATTTAATTTGGGAGCATTATCGAACTCAGTGCAGGATTTTACGTAGCTTATGAAAAGCTGTAAAAGATCTCCCTTAAAAATGCGCTAAATGGCTGGCACATGGGTCTTAAGGAAATGCCACATTTGCTTTGTGTACTTTTCAATCCCTACAGTTTAATCTCGAAAATAATGAATTCCTTTCCAAAGTGCGATGATCCGCAAAACGAAAATGGCTGTACCTCTAAATGGTAAATGGTTTTTTTAACCGCTTGCGTCACTTCATTATACGAAAATGTTTAAAGAAAAGACATTCCATTATTTCTGAACGTGATGACTGATCTTCATGTGTAAAACGTGAAAGAAAGCTCACCAATTATTTTTTAATGTAAATCGAACACAAAATTTTACCGTTAGTGAATCACGATACTTGCTTAAAAACATTAGCCAATTAAATTAAGCAGTTATATCAAATATTACGTAGATTTTTTTAATTACCTTATTTTTCATCTTTAAACAAGTGGCCTGGACTAGTGGTCAGTAGAATGGCAGTGTAATATATATTAAAAAATCAGATGGGAAGACCGTAGTAACTGTAGGTAGGTTTTCAGCAACCTACCGAAATACGCAAAACCTTTTAGAGCAGGCGAGTAAAGTTGGATGAAAACAAGTTCGTCTTTCGAATTTACCACTAACATTCGGACATTACACGACTTTATCCTCTAAAATAAAATGTCATGCTATCCGATTCAATTTGCATGGTTCTGATATGGGTGACATCGCTCATTTCTACAATAAGGGATTTCAAAGATAATGACTCCTAGATATCAGTAACCGAGGCTATCTGAAGCGCCGTTCGCATTCCTCTTGCGATTTGTGTTGATTCCTTGATGCTACAAGTAATTTTCTGTTCCCTCTGTGCAGATGTGTCCGTTTTTGAGCTCACATGTCTGTGCGGGCAACTCAAACAGTCCGAAAGAGCGAACGACCACAATAATGCCTGCTGAGATCATACATGTGGAAACCGTGTAGCCATTCATACTTGAACTCATGGAAACCAGCCTTCTAGCCTTTGATCCTGACATTTGAGAAGTCAATGGTGGATTAAATTGGTTACTCCTTCCATTAAATATGGTCGGACAAATATGGACAAATTTCCATTTAAAGCTAGCCAGTGTGACGTTAACTTACCGTAGGGTATGTTAGTGCAGTGTACTAATTGACAATATCAAAGTAAATAAAGTTTTCAAAGTCAGTGGTAGATCATTAATAGAGCGAAATTCGCCTGAAATCGATTGATCAGCTATACTCACAGGACTCGCAAAGTATAAGAGGAAATGCTTGGAAGAGATTGGATGTTGAAACCCACAGCAGTGTGTTCGGTGTCATGAAAGACAAGCCCTCTTTATAAGACAACTAATAAGGTAGATGAATGATCGTTTGTCAGGTTTGGTTTTGCAATATGCGTAAAACTTGTACTGCTGTTAAAACATTGGTTCTTTTCGGTGTGAGGCAGTGCATAAAAAACAAAATCATGCAATCCCTTATGCTATCGATCAGTTTAAGTATAGTTTTGGAAAATTTTAATTGAACTCTATCTTCACTCAGTTCGTCGTATTCAGTGGTAATTGAGGCATGGCTACAGCCTAAAGCTGTAAATGAATGCTATTAATTCTGTGACTGCACTGCCTACCTCACCAGCATAATTTTTTGGTTTTTCTGGCTTTGACAGCATTTAAGTGAAAACAAGATACGGTTTTTAATAGCTTTCATCCCATTTCTAATTCAGCTCCTCTTCATCATCTCGCCTGTGGCAACACGAAACATTCCTTATTTCTGCGAAGTCCCTAGGCTCATAATTACGCAGCCAAACCGCTCAAATTCCCGGTGTCGCGAGGTCATCCAAAACCTCACCAAATCGCACCTCCCACTCACATGGTGTCCACTTCAGTTCAATAACACAGATTTCTCCTATCTTCGCAAAGTCAGAGCTACCTTCGCCTGCGTTTAGTTAGATGGCGCATTTCGACACTGAGGAGCCCCTTAACCTGTGCTCGGAAATTCTTCGGCTGTCTCGTCCAAAGTTTTCCTCTTCCAAATAAGGGACATCCGGTCGCATGCAGGTCTTATGTATTTTACTGCCCTATGCGCAACCACACAGCTTAATTTATCGTAGATGTGCCTCAATCTGCTTATTTTGTAAACCCCCAGAATGGTTCCCGATAATCCAAGTCCAACCCTTCCCCCGAAGTACCTTGATCACCTGCTCCGAATAAAGTAGAAGAGGTGCGATACACAATGGACTCAGCAGATTTGTTTTATCAACAGTAAATAGATGGGAAGCTGTTAAGCCTCAGTGTTTCTGTTTCATATGTAGTAGATTTACCACTTCACGACTCCATTAATTAATCAACCATGGTCCCCTTGCACTAAACGGAGACAAATAAAGACAGACAGTCATCCACTTTCGTGCAGACTGATCGCATGTGTGTTTGCACCCACAAACAATGGCACTAAGCTGTTTGTGGATGCCAATAAGAGTAAAATGGGGATTTACAAACACGCTTGCCTTAATTAAGCTTGTTACGACTTTTCACTCATACGCCTTCGTTGGCAACCCACCAAATACAGCGTTGACCATCAAGGGCAAAATAAACCATTTAAGGGTTAAATGAAATTGAAAGACTAACAAAGCATGGGTCTTATATAAGACATTTGTGTCAAACGGTTATCGTGGAAAATGAAGTGCCCGTGATGTTTAACGAAAAAATTTGAGGGCCTTATCACATTTCCGTTTAAACTTGTGGTGTAGCTGGATCCGATATTTATTAGCAAGTCAATTAAATTTAGAACTTATGCACCAGTTCCTCTATTGACTTCATCTTTATTCAATATCTACGCTTTTTTTATCGAAGCTTAGTGGAGTGTTTCTCAAGTGGTGGGTTGGCGAGACTTCTTAGGGCACCTCGTTTTATTCAGTGGACTCTATTCAAGTTTCAATGTTGGCAAAGTCCGAGAAATCAGTAAAATGTGGCCCTCCTTACTGAGGACCTCTCAACAGCTAATTCGGTTGATTTCACACAATCCAACATAAAATTTTGATTTCTTTAGGTACAACTCACAGCGAGACGCACCAACAAAACTTACAGATCCATATGTCAAAGGTGACAGTCCTTGCACAAATCATATTTTATTTCTGAAGATCTAGCCGCTAGAAATCGTATGTCGGGGTGGAGCGAGTAATCGGGGCAGGCTTCACTAAGACATATAACTGGTTTTCTCGGACATTTCTGTCCTATTTTATTAAGCGAGGTCGAACACTATGAATCATTCCCAAAACTTATTTGTGCTGCAAAGCAATGACTTACGATGTTAGTTTCAGGCTGAAATTAAGCAGGATAAACTACTAATGCGGTGCCAGTTTGCGATGTGTTAAAATTTGTTAGTCGGAATATTTTGATTAAAATTGCGGCTGTGAAACAATGATTTCATTTCAACGCAATTCTTCGAGATGCCACAAATTTTGCTTTACCATGTCTGGATGCCGCTGCGTAAGTGGTGACGACCGCCATTACTTACACACACTTAAACAAAGCATAACTATATCCACCTGTTGAGGTCCCGCTGTTATTGCACTTTAAATGATCTATAAAATGATTTACTTCTGTTAAATTATCAAATTGATAGCATGCCCTCCACTAACGAATCCCAAACTGACTTCTTTCAGTGCGATTGACATCAGCTTGCGGAACATCCTTGTTAATGATCTGCCCAAACTCGGTTCAATTCCCAATTGACATCGGGAACCAACGGATCTAATGGACCGAAATGGCAGATTTTCACTATACTCAGAGACCATTTCTAGAGTATTTCACATTGACCTTCTCAATAGAGTTGGTTTGGACTAAATCCGTGTCAGTGTGTCGGGCCACACCCAATCACACTCGCTATTTGAGTCAAACCATCCTTATTTCGTCATAAGTGATATCCTTGGGTTACAAATCATGGCAATTGAAATAACGACGCAGAGGCACAGTGCACTTGTTTTAAGATTCAAAGAACACAACCCTCACACCGGTGGTTGAGACAGCGGCTCAGTTTATTGCAAACAATTGGTACAAGCTCGCGCTTTTGGTTGGAAGTATCAATCAGAAAGCAGAAGCGCGACAGAGCAGGCGCGCATGAACACGATTGCGATCGATGTTATCGTGAACCAATCAGCGAGGTAGCTTAAATGTCTCGGTTTTCGTAGTTGCCACGACCAAGGTGAAGCAAATTATAATGAAGCAGGCTTCGTACACCTACGATCCGTGGTGTAATTCCATTGAGTAGCCATGTTACGTATCGAAATGTCAAGTAAATGAGTTCGCTGCAAATCTATGAGAGAACTTTACCATTGCAACA